TCCTTGCCAGACAGGAAAATCTTTGTATTTGCTTCTCTGCTTCCCCACCGTGGGGAACAGACAGACCCGAGGCAGCAGCATCGCAGTGAGTCCTGCATAGAGGGGTTGCAGGTGGTGCATCACATGCTTGTGCGCTGCGGGAGGCATCCCCTTTTTTTGCACCCCTGTTGGCAACTGTATATCCCATGCCTGGATGCGTGACTCTTTCCAGTTAGGAAACTGGGAAATCACATGATTAATTTCGGTTCAGGAATTGCAAAGCAGGAGCCAAGAAGTTTCCAGGGAAACCTGTTTCATAACCTGGACTGCAGTGTTTTAGCTTCCAGATTGAAACTGAGTTTATTTTTATGATATTAAATTCTTATATCCCGTAATTATTTTCTGTCTGTGTGTACACGGTGACATGTACTTGTGTTTCACACAAACTCTGAAGCATCAAAAGATAGGCCAGGCGCTGCTATTTGCTCTGCATGAAGAGTAGAGCTACACTGAAGTTGACACCTTTTGGAAGTTAGAGCATCTCGGGATAAAAGCACTGTGTGCTCAGATCAGAGGTACTACAGCACAGGGGTGACCACACCGTCTTCAAAGCCTACCTGTTGAGTTGGGGAAAATCCTGGCAGCTTCAGTAAAAACCCTTCCCTGCACTTTTGACACCTGCCTTTGTCATGATACGTTCCTGGGGCCATCTCCAAGCGGTACGTTTTAGCCAGGGAGTGGCGTCAGGGTTATTAAATCTATGCTCTCAAGCTCCATGCTCACAGTTCCCAGAATACATTTCTCTTTTCTGGATATCCAGGAAAGTCCTTCTGGCAGTCTGTAGTACGATCCATTGGCAAAGTAATCCTGTGAGTAAAACCACCACCTGCAGGAAGAGCAAAGCATTCACCTTCCTGGGGATGCTGAGCAGGATGGCAGGACCAAAGAGATGCCACATTAGTCTTCGGGTTTGCACAGAAAGCAAAAAATGTTGAAATGCAGTAACAACAAAAAAAGGTATTCATAAATTCATTCTCCAAATTTTGTGTGTTTGTGAAAATGCTGTCTCTACTATGAACACAACTTAGACTTGGTTAAAACCCAACCAATGAAACAAAACCGTTCTTAGGGGTTTGGGGCTACCATTTAGGCCAGTTTACACTACTGTCTTCTCAGTTTCAGCACATTAATAGTCCCAGCTATTTAATTCAATAATGCTTGAGTATTACATTGCAATTATTTCCATGTATTTATTGCATACAAGAGTATCACATTGTAATTACTTCAATGTGTTTATTGCATCGAGGATGATTTCAAAAAAACTTTTTTAATTTTTTTTCTGTGAAAATTAACAGAATAACATACTGAATTGAGCAGATGAGCCCAAACTTGCATGTGTTATTTTCACTACATGTTACTGCCAGTAGAAGTAACACAGGAGCAAATTCTGCTGCCAGCAAACTGGGCACGCACACTGATTTCTTACTGGGTTACACCAGTGCTGGTGAAGCAGAACCTACAACAGTAGCTCGAGGTCCACAGCATAGGCTGAGCTATAGTGAAACGTATCTGAAGGCAGGACATGCCTGAACTTCAGCAATTTTCTAGTCAAACCTCTGCATGATCAGTCAATTTAACATAATGTTATGTTGACCACATAGGCACTTTATTGCTGTAAAGCTCTCAATACAATTCAATCCTTTGCAGATCAAAGCTCTCACTGTGCAGTTCTCGGCAGGATGATGACTTTGGATGTAGGATATTGGAGTACTAAGCATTTGCATGGTAGAGACATGGTTATATTGGGGCTCTCAACTAGGTTCTAAAGAAAAAAAATCCGAATATTTCTGATCAAGTCCCTGACACGAATTGACTTATTTTGGATAAGTACCAAGAAAAGCGAAATCAGAATCTTCCACAGTGGCTTTCTCTAAAACATCACCTAAAAGATGTCTGTTGAACTTAACATTTTTCATCACTTACGCACTTGAATGTGAAATATATTCAGACATCTTTTAAAAAAGTGAGTTTACTTATGTTGGCATATGAGTGGTGATGAACTCCTGAAACACATCCATTCATTCATCTGATCTACATACATACTTAAGTAGCTTTAGGTGAAGCTTGTCTGGAAAAGGGGTCTCCTTCACACGGCGAACTACAAAATGTTACATCCATATTCACCACAGCTCCTTCTGCCCCTCAAAACACGGAGAATGGCCCCCTGTGGAGAAATGATGGCTCCTTTTATAGGGAAAAAAGCAAAGGCAGCACGTGTCCTGGTTTTCTTCACTGTACAGGAACAAAGCAAGGGGTTGAACGAGTTAGTCATCTTAGCACGGCAGGCCCTGTGGTAACACTTGGTTTGAAAGCTATCTAGCTGTGGATTCATTCCTCTCTTAGAAACAAAGAAACGTTTATACTCTCTATCAAATTTTAAATAATGCCTGAGATCAGGGAGCTGCAGGAGGCATTCAGTCTGGTTAGGTTAAGTCAAGCCAACTGTAAAGGTACTCCTCCTGTCCAGGCGTGGCTGTCGGGCACATCTGAGTCAGAGCACACAGCTGCCCTGCTCCCATCGCAATCTTTGCCTGCTCAAGGAACAGCAAAAAGGAGCTGGGAGAGACCCATGCTATTAAAACACTGAATTTCCTACAGACAGAATATTAAAAAAAAAAAAAAAAAAAGGTTCTAGAACAATAACAAAATTCATCTCATGATCTTAAACCATGTGAGCACCACCTAGAGATTTAAAATTTCAACAAATGCTGGCAGCGGACGTCGTTCTACTGATCTGCTCTGAAAATGCTGATGCACTTACAGTAAATCCCTAACCAGGCCAGTTGTGCAACAAGTTGAAGTGACACAAAGTATTAACATTTATGGTGGTGAGTCAAAATCAAACAAACATCCTTCTTTTATAAGCTTTCTCACAGCATGTAGTGGCATGTACTGCGAGTAATGAAACATCTGTTACAGCCCTGACTCTCTCGCAACTGAGCAAGTGTTGCAATCATTCTGTAGTGCCAGGCTTCACCTTAGGGTTTTAGTGGGTCAATGAGAAGTATCGGCAATGGACAACGCTCATCTCAGGAAGAATGAAATAAAACAAAAAACTCTTCAAGAGCCAGGTTTCCCATGTAGAAAATAAAAAAGTACTATATTGCAAAGTGTCAAAACCTAATTTTAACTCCAGGCTGAAAGACTTATTTTGGTGATACTTGCAGTTCATTCAAGTGCCCAGAAAGTCCCTTGTCAGCAGGTGTAGGTATGGGCAGAAAAGTGAATTATAAAATATGCTTAGATGGTTCGCTCTTGTATAAAGTTGCCCACTATACTTCAGATGGACTGCACACACTTTTAAAGCCTGTCCCTTCTGCAGAGGGGCATGGGTCTCCCCGACTGCCCTGTGCTTCTGTATATTGCCCGCAGTGAAGCAAGGCTCGTTTCCCCCCCCAACCCTCACCCCCGCCCCCCAATAAGTTTTGCCATTGACTTGGCCCTGTTTGCTCCGCAGTGTGACCAGCATAAACAGAGTCAACAAAATTCCTGGGAGTCACGAAATTTAAGACTTGATGCAGCAGAACATGTACATGTACATAATTAAATATAGATGTACTCTCATTTCCCATCAATTGAAATGTGTACTTAAAAGGCCCTTGTTTAAGGGCTTTGCCGACTAGAAACAGTTTCCCGTGTCTGTGAATGCTTTTGCATTAGACCTTAAAGATTATGTCTGCTTTGGATATGAGTGATGACTGTAAGCTGTGCAGTCCTACCAGCTATTACAGAACTGGGACACAGAAGTGCGGTTGGTTTGTTTGGGTTTTTTTCAGCTCAGAAGTAATTAGATACAGTAAAATTTGTATATCAATATAGCAAAATTCATGGAAAGATTTCTGTAAGAAAAGTTTTCTTTTAAAGGAAGAGGTTGCTGCTCAGAGCTTGCCCAGTGTTAAGCCTTTAGGCAAGTTCCTGAAGAAGGTATGAAAGGCTTGCATTCTCATTTACTGTATTTCTACACTATGCTCAGAAATGTTCAGAGGAAAAATTCCCTTGGTCTCCTGCTTTAATGTGTTTTTCTTCCAGAGTGCCTGTGCAGCAGCAGAGTTAACGATTCCTACAAGATCAGCCTGCCTGCCCCTCTCAGTTCTGAAATACTTCCTCCGTATTTTTTTTTCCAAGGGAGGAACTTTTCTTGCTCATTTATGACCCCAGATGACTGATCTAACTCTATTTGTAATGCAATACTTGAACCCTCAATCAGAACAGGGGTATCTGTGTAGCACCTACAGAGATTAACAGAAAATTCAACTCTTTGGAATTCCCCCTTATTTCTGACTGTGAGAAGAGTGAGAGATTAATATTATGAAACCAGCAAGGTAACGCAGTCGACAGCATGCAGCTGCCAGTGGTTTCACTCTTGTCCTTCATCTCTCCTTCCCTCTGTTTGTTTCAGATCATTGCATATTTTATCACGTCACAATATAAATTTCAAGCTCTCTGGCTCAAGGCTGTGTCTTTATTTGAATTTGTAAAGTTCACAGATTTGGGTACTCAAAAACCAGTGAGAAGAGTACAGCTTAGGAAACGCAGAACAACTGTGTAATCAAAAAGCTTTCCTGTCCAACAGGGTGTCTGCATCATCTTCCAGCTCCATAAGCAGCGAGTAGAAATAACAGACTTGTTTGTATCAAACGGACTCTATTGTTTTTATTAATCAGTGTTACACGTACAGGTTAATTAAAAAAAGCTACAGTTTGTGAAATATGTCATCTAGCTACAAGATACAAACCTAGGCCAATTGCCATGGTATCTATTGATGCTCAGCCACTGTAAAAAAATTACAGTTTATTTTCTGATATACAAAACTTCAAGCAAACATTCCTTGTTAAACGTTCAGTAAAGCTCACAGAATTCTACTACAGTTTCATATAGTGTTTTAGTGCAAAAGGAAGTACAAATATAAAAATACTGAGGCTTGAATTAAAAAAAACCCAAACAACAAAAAACCAAGCAAGCCGTGGAGCTAGAGGTGAGTGTCTGCTATGGGTATTCTTCTAAGCTCTACGATCTGGGAGTTAGCCATGCTGCCACCGTCCTGGCTGCCATGACAAGATTCATTATCGCTGACGCTGAGACCTGCACCTGAAACAGTGAAAAAAATAAACAAAAAAAGAATCAGTGAGAATGAAATCCCGACACAGAAATGGTGATATCGTGTCCTCCTCTGCTTCATTCCGATTATTGAAACGCTTCTGTACCCCACAACGATGTGGCAAATTTCCTCTTACTAGTCCACAATTCTGAATCCGCAGACTATAACATTATCTGACGTAGTTTTGTACCATCCAGATACTCTTTTTCATAATTCCACTGTCAGTCACTTTATTTGTCGTTCATGGTACAATAGCTATTCAGAGGTTGCCTTGAAATCACAAGAGCATAAATCAAGGCCCGGCTTAGGCTGGGTACATGATCTGGCTGTTACAGTCTGGTATTTCCAAGGACTTCTTCATGAAGAATTGATTTTTAATGATACAATTTCCCTGTTAAACTATAATTCCAGCTGTTTTAATAGGATTGTAATTTCAACATGAGAAAAGACGCTGACTAAATATTCTTTAAACCCACATTTGGCACAAACTGGTGTATTGTGTTTTTCTTCTGTGAGAGAATACTAGACTTTGGCCCATGGGAACTTCCAAAACACATCTGGAAGACACCTCAGGAGGCCACTTTCTCCATCCTTTTGTCACAGGAGTTCTGCTAGCTTGTTGCTTCCTTGTTGTTTTTTGGGGGTTGGGGTTTTTTTTGGGGGGGAGGTTTGAGTTGATTAGTGTGAAGATACATAATCCTGCACTAGTTTTTATGAAATATGTATTTTTTCAGACAACTTCATCAGTTGTAACTATAAACTTCAGCGCGTTTTCAGCTCCTCTCTTCGAGCTGTAGAGCGAATCCTAAAAAATACATGGGTCTTGTTAGGGTTTAGGGCATCTAGGCTTTAAATTTGTTGAGAACTGCACATCAGTGTAATTAGGCATGGTGATTTCAAGACAGACTAATTTCAGGCATGGTCTTACAGTGATGTCACTTACAAATAACTAGGGAAGTTATTCATTTTGGGCAGAAGTAGATCTGTAACTACACACAGTTCAAAGGAGTTGCAAAGGAATGACATTTGGCTCAAAAAGCCCCGAACAGGGTATGCTGGGAAAGGCAGTGATTTGCATTTTCATACTAAAAAATATTTTTAGGAGTTTCTATCAGTTGTACAGCGCACCTCTTATTTCTGCCTCAGCTGACATTCCAGCCTTTGGCTTGTTCGGCAAGAGGCAAGATAAGGGTCATTTACTTTTTTGGAGTTACTTCATCATTTTCTCTGCACCCTATTGTTCCACTTTTCCATAGCACCCTTCCTTCCACCACACGCCAAGTAGAAAAGAAGTACAGAAAAGGGGGCAGCGGTGGGACGTCCCTTTGCTGTGGGAAATCAGGCTGCAATCTTGATTATGGAGCTTGGTTCAGAGAACCTGAGCAGAAGAACCTACAGGACTGGGCAGGCTTTCCTGCAGAGGTCTGGAAGAAGTCCTGGTAGGGGCCAAACTCGGGTGCAGTGCTGCATGAACCCAGCGCTACTGCATTCAGGTGAAAAGTGGGTATTTCTGCACCGTAATCCTTCTTACACCTGGTTTTGGTGTTTGGGTCGTGACGTGAACATGCATTCATTGACATCCACTAGATGCGTCCTGTTCTTGGGTCTGTATGACCCCAAGCTCTTGAGAGACCAGCAATTACTGTCAGAGTATGACAAGAGTAAAAGTCCATCAATGTACGGAGATACAATAATAAGGACAAGAAAATTAAGCTCTGACTCATTAAAATACTTGTTTGTAAGTCTACTGGAGATGATTAAACCCTACTTACTGATTTAAACTTATATGCACATTTAACTTTTTCATTGAATCATGTTCCTAATAACTAAAAGCTGCTTGAAAGTCCTGGGAAAAACAGCAATTGCATAAGCAAGTTACTTGGGTTTTTTTCTTACCTTCTCTGAAACTGTTTTAGAAAGGAAACATGATTGTAATAGAGAAGATAAATCAGACTGCTGTATTTAACATTTGGGGATGGAAGAACAAGGTAATAACCTTGAAGTAAATACAATACTTTGAATGGAGGAATAAAAACAGTACTCCTTATGTAACATCATTAACATTGGAATTCACTCAAAACGTTTATTTAGGCTGAAGAGGGTACAAATTTCAAAAAGGGAAAAAACACATTATTGAAAACGTTTAAAATCATATTATATAAACATGATCATCCCAGGTTCAGATTTTAAGGTGAACACTGACTGTTGGGGTTAGAAAGGTATTTGTCTTACTGGTGGGTATACTGCAATTATTCAGTATAATTTTTATAATTATATTGTTATTGTTATTATAATAACCCCAGCTATTCAGGGGTTTCTTAAAGAATCTCGTGCTGGTCACTATAAAACGATCAGATACTGGTCTAATACAGTATTACACTAATTATATTCTTAAATGTCATATACATGCATGCTTTGTGCATGCTTTGTGCAAAGTAAGAGGAGATTTTTTTTGTTATGGAGGTTCTTAACAGGAACTTGGTAAACCAGAGGCTGAAGTAGGCTACTTGGGATTTACAAGGGCCTTGTTCTGCTGCTGATGCAAAGACAAACTACATAAGAGCTGATCCTTTTTAGGAATGAGAGCTGAAATGTAACCAGGATACCAGCTTACCAAACAGTCAGCAGAGTGGAAAGGGTACGACTGTTTACACGATGGAGTTTCATAGAGTTCATAGGTCCGGCTTGTTCTCGGATTAGAGCAGAATTTAAACTCAGATACCAAAAAGCATGTACTCCCCTAGAGATGCTAGAGATCGATGGTAGGTACATAGCAGGGAGTATTAATTTTCCCCAATTTGTGAAGAAACTATTTTAAGAAAAAGATGCAGGAAAATGAGGCCTTTCTTCCTTTCTTTTTGTATCAAAGCACTAGCTAGAAACTGGAAAGTCACAGCTCGCTTTGCAAACCCAGCGAGATCCTTCCAGTGACATCTGCTGGTTGAAGGATTTCATCAGTGCATTCCTACGTGCCCTTGAACACCAGCTGTTATCGTTGGCTTGTTCAGATATATCTCAAACTTTCACTAAAACATGTTATGGGAGACCGAGTTTGTTTTGTAATTACTGTTCTCTTATCTCTGGGGAGACTTTTTATCTCGTAAGCACTTCTATCTTGCTTTCTGAATCAATCATGATTTATATTGTATGTGTAAGATGTATTAGACAGATAGAAATGAATAAGCTACACGAACCAACTTCAATTCTTTTTTTAGGGTTTTGACTTTACAGAAATGACACCAACAGACATCTGGACCTCTATGAATACAGTTCAGATTGGACTAGAAATGCTTCCTGGATACTATGCAGTCACGTTCCACACCCAACAGGTAGCATATTTGCGAGCAATCACAAATGAGAAGTTGAATGAATATGCAAACTGGCTACCCTTCCTTCTTTTTTTTCTATGAAGTGAGCCCTTCAAAACAGAAACGACATCGGCTGATAAGGCAGGGCTCACATCTGGCGCTTTGCCACCGTCTACGACGTATCTGCCCTGTGACAGACAGTCTCCAGGATATCGCACTGAACAGCTTTCAGAATTTGAAATTTCAAATGTTTCCTGTTAGTTCAGGATGCCCAACATGAGATGCTTAATTCTTAAACCAGGCACCTACAGTGGTAACACCAAGGTTTAAGAAATGCTGACTTTGGAACCCTAGCTGTATTAGATTGAAAATTATGAGTTGGTTTATATAGTATCGTTATTATAATAGCTGTATTTGTGTGGGATTTTTAACTCATACAGTAGATTTTTCAAGGTATTCTCCATGTAGAATATTTACTTAGGATTTATCACATATGCCTCTATTAAGAGCAAAAATACACTGAGACGTGGACGTAGCAATATCCTCCATTGATACTGTCCGATATGTATTTGGAAAGTACCATGTGCCAGGCTGGTATTCTGCACTCTAAGATGATGTCTTTGCAAACAACTTCCTGCAGGGGTGGGTGACCAGTCAGTACTGGGGGGGTCTGGGCCTCTCTCAAAGACTTTGCTGTGTTTTGCATTCACATCTCACCCAAAGGAATGAATCGGTTCAGTTTTGTGCATCACAGAGGACAAAAGCATTTGTAGGAGATGGGAATATGGATGGAAGCTCAGAGATCAGTAAAGCTATGGTGCATTTATGGTAATGTATGCTTTAGAGCAAAGCTGATGGACAGCTTGCTGCTTTGGGACAGCTTCCATCTAATTTTATTCTGTTGGCTCCCTTTTTAACCCCCCAGCCCTCACCAGAGTAGAAGTCCTTAGGGAGTTCTGCTATACTGGGCTTTAGCCTCAATGACAGTAACATACGACTCTGTGACAATGTGGAAGGCAATGGTCTTACTAAATTGTCTATCAATATAAACCTTGCACAAGAAATCAGAGGAAAAATGAGATCTAGTCCAAAATGACAGCACTTGTAATGTTAAATAGTACAATTAACAAAAACTAATTAGTAAATAATTGTCCTTCTCAGTAGAAGCTAAGCCTTTGATTCATTATAAAAGCCATAAATGAAATATAATAAAATAAATAGTTTAAGCCGAATTCATAAACATTAAAAAAAATAGGTTTTGGCACATATGAATAGGCAGGACATGTCCCTAAATTATTTTTTGCTACTATAATTATCCTATAATTTCCTTCACATAAAATGCCTTAGAGCTGGCTGGCCTTCCAAAAGATTCCCACAGTGTAAGAGATGAGGTGATATAGTGAGCATAGTGAATCCTAACTATGTATTTCTGTATGGACATGAACATATTTGATGGAAAGGAGGAATTAATTGATAAGGCATTCAGAGGCCATGGCTTTATGATATAAGAAGTCCAACTTTTGGATTTCTTGCACCAAACAAAAAATTCTATGGCCATGTGATGCAAAGCTTGCACAAAACTAGCATAAAAGCTGGCTAAGAAACAGTACGCTGTTGTCCACCTAATCTGCTAGAAATGCGGTTGTATGCCTTCATCTGACCCAGTCCGTATTTCAGGTTAATCTGTAATTAGGCCCAGCATTAATGATTACGGAACCAAGGGCTAAGTGCATAGTTCTACGACACATTTCTTTAGCAATAAGGCCAAGTGTGCCAACACATCTATTTGTGGAGCTGCACTGCAAACTGCAAACTACTAAACTGTTGCAAGTTAAAGAATAAAGTTGTGCTGTGGGGGTTGGTTTGATTTTTTTTAACCTGCATCAGTCATCCTTCATTTCTGCTGCTGAGAGTGGCCAGCTGCCGTGCAAGGGTGGGGCAGGAGGACAGGAAGGAGATTTAAGCTTTGCTGTGATTATACTCTTGTTCTCACTATTCTTGGTTGCCAGATTAAACCTTGGGGCTACAGACAGTGAGCATAAATTAAAGTAACCTTCAGGCAGCTCCAAACTACATAAGCAGAAAGGACAGATGAAGTGCAAAGAGGCATAAAGGTATTTTTGCATACTCCTCTTCTAATCAGTGCTGATCCTCAGCCAACCTTCAGAGCAGGAGCTAATATTTTAGCACAGCTGAGGCTGGGTTTGGTTATAGATTGACAGTTTTAGGGAACAACAGATAATGGAGGTTTCTGTTTCTGCTTACCAGAGGTAAAGCTCAAGCAACAGCAAAGCAAGCATTTCTATTCCCCCTCTATACCCAAAAGCCACACCTCCCAGTTTAGGAGTGATAAAAACAGCTAATGTGGTGCAAAGCACCTTCTCCCTGCTCTCCCAGGGGCTTGTCTGCTCGAGATGAGAAATTCTCAGCTTACTGAAATAAAGCCTGGTCTAAAAGGTTTCAGAAGCACTGCTTACAGCAAATGACAGACAAGAGCAAGGCAGCAAAAAGGCATCTCAGCTGCCCATACATTTTAGCCTATTTAGAGAAGTGGTGCTGGTCTTCCAGTTGCTGATGACCACTGCTTCCTTGGAGCTGGGACTGGTGCTCAAAGGGCATCAAACTGATGCGGAGTGGCAAGGGGAGAGGGAGAGAGAGGGGGAGAGGGAGAGGACAAGTCTCTAACCTGAGTTGTGGTTTCATGTGAGTATGAGCAATGATGGAAGAGAGGAAGAAGAAATGTGCTGCCAGGAGGGACCAGGAGACAGGCTCCTTTCAGTGCCTGCTAGCTTAACTGTATCATAAAACTCCCGTCAGACCACAGCTCAGCGAATACTTTAGCAGCATAAGCCTGTACTGCCAAACAGAGAAGAAATCCCACTTTCCACCACCCCATCTCCCTTTTTATTGCTTCCACGCAGTTCCCTCCCTCGTGCCGTCGGGAGCACCTTGACTCCTTGGCCAAGCACTGAACTGGACTAGAGAGCAGGTCTGGATGAAAATAATAAAACAGATAGGATTTTTAGTTACAGAAAAGCCCACATTTTTTGGATTAAAGTATGTGTTGAGCTACAGCTTGTATCTAAGGCAATAGCTGATAAACATTTACTTTGGTGGTTAAAGCTACTCTAACCTCAGTACCGCCTCTTCAGTTTGGCTTGTTCAAATGTTCTGTGTGGGGCTGGATCCAGATGGGACAACTGGTTTGGCTTAGAAAACATCTTTTTTTTCCCCTGTAATGTTGCTGGGGACACAGTTTAGGCACACAAATAAGCACTGGGGTAAAATGGTCAGGTACTACTTGAATCAGTAATGCAAACAAAAATATTTTTATCCAACTGTGGCCTGAGGTCTCTGCTTCAAATCACATTAATACAAAAGGCTCATAAGAACAAATTATAATAAAATATTAATAAAGAAGACAATAAAATTTAGGCAAAATAATCAAAAGCTGGTTCTAGGCCTACTTCAGAAGGACTGAAAACAAATTAACTAAGGATGGAACTTGAAGATTTATTAAAAAATCATTAAATGTTGAAGTTGTGGTGAGTCATATTAACCATGAGTTTTAAGTACTGCTGTTGCCTAGATTGTTCTTCATGATTTAAGACTCAGTCTTCCACAGTGCGTAGAGTTTACTGCAGAAAACAGGCCAACTGATGTCAACTGAAGTGCTTAAGCAGTGAACACTGTGTGCGATGGTGGGAGTGTTAGATGTGAATGGCTTCATACCTTATTAACTATCTATGAATTATCTGGTTTCCTTCAAAATATTCAGGAAGGAGTAAAAGAGTAAAAGCTACCTTCTTAGGTACTTAAAAAAAAAGTTTGCAACTGTAAGCTTATGCATCTAGATTTTAAAGTCTTGCCCAAAATCTTTAACTGCATAACGAAGTAGCAGTAGTCTACAAAATGCCCAGTAAAATTAACAGGTACAATACAGATTTTGAGACAATCTTCATAAAAATTTGCACTTCTTAGCACTACACCAGTTATTAATAATCCAATTATCTTCATAATCAGAGGAGTTTTCTGCAATGGAAATTGGCTTAGGAGATAAAGTATTATGAATATACTGAATAAAACTACCCCTTCATTAGCAGCATTCCCAGTCTTCCAATCAGTTTGACTGTTTTCCTTGGTGTTGCTGAAGGGAACAAACTCCTGAAATTATCAGTGCCAGAGCACTTAACCTGCTAATGTCACCAGTACCTCGCTGTTGTCTCTTGCAAGGCTCGATGGTATCCCCAAAGATCATTCAGGTGACCTCCTACTGCCAAGCTAGCGCGTTTGTATTTCATCTGGTGCCTAAAGGAGGTGCGTTTGGGTTAGCATTGCCAGGTCTTATCAGGTGGCACTCCTTTGCCCTTGTGGTCGTCTTATCAGACATTCCTGTGTTGACGCCAGAGGGAGGGGATGCCATCCAGAGGGACCTTGACAAGCTCGACAAGTGGGCCCGTGTGAACCTCATGAGGTTGAACAAGGCCAGGTGCAAGGTCCTGCACCTGGGTCAGGGCAACCCCCGGTATCA